CTTCTCAAGAAAAACATGGTGTACCTCTTATGATATACACACAAACAAGGCAGCCTTGCTATAGTATCACCTGCCAGAAACATAAGTAAATAAATAAACAAATGCATTAACAAAGAAAGATATACAGAAAATGGAGGAAATTGGTGCCAAAACTATTTTTTCATGCTACACACTACACCTCAGAAAATTCAACCCTTTCACTCCCTAAAATGGTCATATTCTTGTCATAATTTTGTGACAAGTATAAAGCAAATGTAATTTAAAAATTAGGAGAAAACCTGTTGGTATTCAACACTAAATTCTCATGACTACATGTTGCTGAAAATGAAACCTGCAGCTATTCAGTCATCAGTTGGGGGAATCAGTCTTCATATCTTGAAAATGAAAGGAGTACACTTTGTTACCAGAACCTAGTGCTGAAGTCTGCTTTCCCAGCCAATTCTTTAACAAAATTTATAACAAAAGTGGAATACTGGACAGACAACAATCACTTTAAAGAAGACAAACTGGACATTGCTATTGACTGGGATGATAATGAACAGGACTAACAGAGGATTGACAAAGTTATTATTTCAATAGTCTTTATGTTCCACAAAGAGATAAATAGCCTTCAAATAGCTACTGCATAGCTGCTTATTTTTAACAGAGCCTTATAAAAGGCTATCTTCATTTTACTGGTAAAATGAATGATTTCTAAACACAATTTGATTTGCAGTTTACAAGAAACATCTCATACCTATACTCAAGTCTTCAAAACATATAACACACTCTCCATTGTCTTGTTTAAGCACATCCTCTAAAGAGAGATTAATGAATTCATGTTCAGAATAAATCTTATCCCTAGTCGAAGTCAATAAATTAGCAGAATTTAAAATCTACCAATACTCTACACCCCTCAATACCTTAAATTATCAAACAAGCAATGCAGTTTTCTGAAAGGAGAAAAATGAACCACTCAATATGACTGTTCAACAACAATCTGTGATTAGGTTTGAGTGCAGTGGCTTAGTATGCTGGGGTCTGACATATTACAGTTTAACAGTAATGCCACTACTAAGCCAAATTTAAAATGGTGGCATCCATAGTTACATTTTCAACATATTTGCAGATAATTTTTAAAAACTTTGGTTACCCTGTGGACTGTCAAGATGCATTCAGAGTCTTAATTTCACACTCTACTTTTAAAGGGTAAGATAAAACCATAAGGCTCTAGAGGATACTTGTCCTTTGAGAAGAAATGAAAATGATCATCTGTCTAGTTTTGCCACAAAAAATGATAAGTTACATACCACAAACCAGCAAATGTATAGTATTGAAATAATAATAATGACATAATGACACATTTTGTAACTTTGGAGTGCTCAATAGACAATTTTTCCAAGGTTAAATCAATTCCATACACAAATCAGCTCTCCAAGTTGCCGTATTTAAGTCACTAAATATGAAATGAGGAACTTAAAAATGGCTCTATGTTAAATAAAAATGAAGTAGCCCATCACATCAAGCACATCCTACATGGTTGATTTTGTAAAATCTCTAGCAGCTGAAGGTCTGGTAAACACATCATAATCCTGGCTTGTGATTTTAGATTCTATAATGTTAGTAAGTCAGATAAAAACCAAGATTACATTCTCAGTAACACATCCTGAAATCAAAGACTCAATTTTTTGACCTCCAAGTCAAAGTAGCTTACTAATTGATCAATAACTGCTGCAGTTGACAATAATCAAGTCAAAATTCCGGACGCTATCAACCCTAAGGTTTCCTCTCAAATTATCAACTTAAGTCTAAAACACTGAGCCAAATACATCTTTTTCCAAAGTGACAATAACAAACAGAAGAGTCACACAAACCTTTATTCTGAAAAGTAAATAAGATGGAGGATTTTCAAAGCAGAACAGGAATTAAATGCTGGAAACCAAAGTTTTCACTACCAAGTCATTAGGGAAGATTATTTTTTTCAGAAAATCTATAAAAGACCGGTTTACTCTTTTAAACTCACATGATCCTAATAATGTAAGATACAGTGGAATTTTGCTAACCCAAGCTTGGAACACGATTTCTGTAGAATCAAGACTGATACCATTTACTGTGAAAAAATTTAAGACATAGGCAACAAGCTAATGCAAACTACCCTTTATCTTTAGTAGTTTTCCATCTCAGTGAGTAGTTTGAGTAGCAAATTCTACTGTAGCTAATTTGTGATGTGGACATATTACTGCATTGTCTGGTTCGACACCTATCAGCATAATCAATATAAACATCCATTTACGAAGGGACAGGCTTTGAATGTGACTTGTATAACTTTACTTGGTTTGGTTATTATCTGGGGACAGAGAATTCTCCAGCGAGGTCACAAAATTTTTTGGCAACATGTCAACAGTTTACTGTTTGTTCAGATTTGGAGAAAGTTCTCTTGTTCTTTGGACCAATCTCCTGCTACTGCATTTCCCAGTATTTTTCAGTAACCCAAACAAACCACAGCTATCAGTATTAATCAACTTCTATTATGACTGTAGGAAATGGGTTTTATCTTAGTCTGACAAAGGATAACATTTCATGGCTCAATTCTTGATTCAAAGGTTACTCTTATATCAGTTATTGCAATGTACAACGTCATGTGCACACATGCCCAAGCAGACTATTTTTGCATGACATTATCTCAGAAAACTTTTAATAGCTCATGTCCTGGACTGTCTATCATGAAAAGAGCTTTAAAGATAAAAAAAAATTGGAAAAAAGATATAAAAAAAGAGATGTCTTGAAGTGCACCTTTGACAATTGTTATATATAAAAATTGCACTGCCACAAATTCAGGGCATGAATCAGATTTTGGTGCAACAAGTAAAACTTCCAAAACACAGCCATTTGATCAAAGGAAAATAAAATAGAACATGTACTGACGCTGAATAACAAGCTATTTCGTGTTTGTTCAGGAATATAATAAAATATTACAAAATTACAAATTCACAAAGTAAAATCGAAACATCGAGAATAGGAGATAATGTGATATCTCTGAAACAAATAATCAATAATTTTAGAGAGTGTAAATTTTGCAATTAGGAAAAAATGAAACGCGATTGGCTTCATCAATATGTAAATGAAGTGTTCAAAATATAATGTGTGCCGTAGGAAAATTTACACTAAGAAAATAGCCATAAAAGTTAAACCTGTACCAAACAACGAAAGTTACATACGTTACAATATCACTTTTCATATTTCTTTGGTTGTGGGAAAAATTTGAATGATTTTACCACTCGCTGGAAGGTTCCATATTATACTATAACACAAAAATGACAAAAAATTGACAAAACTCATCAACGATCGCCCGGCATAAATGAATTCACCTGCGTTGAAAATAGGAACAATTCTCATATTTTTATGGACAAGCCTCTTCAATGACCGTGCTGACCGAGAAAGATGGATAGTTTAAATAATCGTGCAATCCAGAAACCATCGTTATGTCATCATCGAGTTTGAACTGTATCAAATTGAATATACAAAGAAAAAGACGAATTCTTTTCAAATTCGGACAAAAATTCTTTGTTTGTTTCTAAAAAGAAATATTTATTGCCAAGGTTTATGTGGAATATAGAAATACTGTATGAACCATTCTTCCGCCCGAACCCACAAATTAGAATTCTGAAGTGGCAAAGAGATTTCAGCTGACAGTATGAGACAACAAATTGATCCAAGGTTCCCGTGCCGGACAAGAGTTAACTTTATGAACGCAGTTTTTAACATGTTTGAGATCAGACGAATCAGAATTCATTAAAAACTTACCGTTGTACGTAATTCGAGGCTTGGTGAGGCAAATTACCAAATGAAGCTCAATATCTTCAGCCAAAATTACTTTCGAGCAGACGGGACATTTCACCCCTACAAAGAAAATTTAATCACAAAATATGGTCGCGTTCAAACTGCACGAATCGTCAAAACGACAAGATTAGGCTTTAACCTGTAAGTAAATAGTCTCACTTCACCCAACTACCCGACTGATTATCGTATTTGGTTAAATACTAGCCAATCCCGGAGGAAAGGACAATATATTTGATCTTACCGTTTAAAAACGTAGTGTAAGCGAACAAATGCGAAGGGAGCGAGTGCGCTCCCTGCAGGGCAAGTCCTCGCGGCGACGGAGAGTTATCCTCTGGCGAAGAAGACAAATCAGACTCCTGAAAGGAAGCCGAATGGCCAGGAATCGATAAAGAATGTCCAACATTGTTTAATGAACGAGTTCGTATTCTCGGATCCAGCGCAACAACCCTTGAAGTCTCTGGTAAGCCGGCGGTCGCAACAGCTCCGTTGCCGACGTTGCGTGCGTTTGTTCGCCCATTGTGGCTGGATTGCTTCGCTCCCATAATATTCAATCGCGTCAAAAATTTCCAAAGAGCCTAAGCTGCCCTAGCAGCACCAAGAGAGAACATTTACATGATATTCTCAGATAGAGAAAATGAGACTATTCTCTCCTCGGCCTTCATGGTTCCTAATCACGATGTTTTTGTTTGGAAACTGCTAAGGAGTTTGGCCGCACTGCCTGATGGGATGTTTCTTTTCGTCACGCCACAAGATGGCGACCAATCGTGAACAGTCCTTCAATTTCCCTTTCCTCCTTTCAGTTTCTCGTACTTCGTCTAGACTAATCCAGACTGAATTGCCTAAAATGTCATTTTCTTTGATAAGAAGCCCAAACAGAAACATCTGTTGAGCTGAAGTTGAAAAAAATTTAATTCAACCTTACTACTGACTGATCTATCGAAAGGAAAAAATTCAGTGGAGATGAAAAACTCACCACACTACACGCACGAGACTATGCCGCGTGTCCCTAAGTCACGAGTTTTCGATTTGTGTTTCTCTCTTTTTTTTCTTTTCTTTTTCCATCGACCCTCAATTTAGACCATGGCTTCAGATGATCAGCTGACTATCATTCGCTTCCATCTGGCCTCTTATTCTCACGTGCTAGACCGCTATGAATCGACATACGTCGCCAACTTGTGCCATCAACGTGTACACCAGTCTTCATTTTTCGTGCCTCGTAAGCAGTGTTCTTCGTTTAATATTTAAGAATTTTCGACATGAGTGATATAATCGAAAATAAACACCCGCACTGGCCGTGCAATATGTGAGAAATATACGTCTGCTGCTGTCTACACGTGAGGTCAACATGACCGGATATCGTCGATTTTTTTTTTGTTTTGTTTTGTTTTTTTGTTCTTTTGTTTATTTGCTTTTTTTTCACTTTTATAAGGACCAAACGGAAGCAGAAATTACGAGGCTAGACCGGTAAAAAAAGGATTCATTACATGGCCGAAAATAAAATGCAAAAATTAATAATTGACGAAACTCGTCATCGCAAAAACAGAAAGTTCAATATCAAAAAGTAAATCCGTGTGGATATAATTTAAGTAAGCTGGATATAATTGAATTTAAACGTCTCGCCTTCTTTCGGCTCTGTTATCTTAGACTGATTGGTTTACTGTAAAGGCGAGAAAGACACTTGAAGATCGACAAATTACGACGCTGTTGGGAAACTCATAACCGTTATATCATAGTCACATGTCCTTCTATAGGATCCTTTACTCCCATGGTGCCTCTCTCGCCCCGGGAAAGCAAACTTTTGGAAAAACCCAGCCACCACTTAGATCAGTGAGCTAGTAAGCTTGTATAATCAGACTCACAGTTAGAAAATGAGAAGTACTGAATAAAGGCAAGGGCGGGGAAAAAAGCGACTAAATCCAGGTGACTGTGATCTGTGAAGTAGAGGGCAATTGAAGTGAATCATTCCAGGGTAAGCTAACCTTCCTTTAAAAAAAATTTAAAAAATAAAAAAAAAAAAGGGAAAAGACGGTCATCCTTATCCTGTGCGATCGGCTTCAACGTTTTGATCAGCATTTCAGTGAAGAGGCTGATCAATATCTCATTGCCAACCATTCTAAGGGCCTATTCTAGTCACCAGGCCTGGGTTGTTAAAAGCTGAGTTTAGAAAACGCAGGGTCAGTCTGAAAGTTGATTTCAGGTCTGGAAGCTTTAAAAAAAAATGCAGTTCAAATCTTTTTGCTTGCAATTTAATCACTGGATGTTCTAGCGAGAATAGGGAAAATTGTCTCTGAAAGGTTTTTGAACAAAGGAATAAAGAAACCTGGATGAAAATTTACCCCTGAGTTAGCGCTAATCGGCCTTCGAACAACTGGGCCTTGCAATTTATCATTTCCCTTCAGGTGCTTGAATGGCCTTGGTATTTCGGAAACTGATAAGCTCAAGGTAAAAGAATTGTTGCTATGGTAAATTATGCAATTAACTGAATACCAAACGCCCTCTAGAAGGTCTTTCTGTGTAAATTGGATTTAAGATCAATACCGTTGCGGGATTCATAAGAGAGGATAAGGAAATGTTCTAAAAACAGCTTTAAAAAGTCAATGATTGAATTAAAAGGATCACTCACCTCTCGGTAAGTGAAAAGTTATTTATCCAACACATTGGGGTGAGCAATAAGAAACAAAACCTCACGGATTTCCAAGCTATTCAAGCCGATTCTTCCGTCATGTCTGATATTGAAAACAATCATCAGATACACCTTCGTGGTCCTATAGAGCCTAAACTTCAAGAACTTCCGCATAATGAACAATTTGAAAACATCGGCTATACCGATTGTAACTCAACTCAAGATTTTTCAAAGACATCAGCCCACGAAAGCAGACATATTTTCTGTTGTCGCTTCTTTCCGCTGCTTGAAAGAGACCAAAAGAGAAAACCCTTCTACGATCGCAGTCCAGAGAGACCTAACGCCCTACATTACAGATCTGGCAACCGAACACACTGATTCCCCAGATCATATGAAACACATCTGCCAACATGGCAGAATTTAAAAAGTAAGGTAATACACTGTTTAACTTTCTGATGAAAGGATTTTATTCACGGTCTTTCCATTTTTAAAACTTAAACCTAAATTCTTCAATTTCGCTCTGTGTAAGCTGTTTTGATTTTATCGGCTTTAGATATTTACTGGTTATACAGCATTCTTGTTCTCTTATTTCTGATTTGCATTACCTAATCTGGTAAATCATATCGAAGTTTTTTCATTACTTCAGAGCAAATTTCCTCAATTCTCACGATGTTTTCAGCACTCAGTTCTTGTTCCCAGGCCGTGACCATTCTGGAGCTGATCAATTCCCTCGAGGAACCCAAACCAAATTGCTCAGTCCGAACGACTGTAAGTAGACGATGTTCAGTAGCTGGCGAAAGCGGCACACCTACAAAGCGAGAAAGTTCCTCTGCGGTTTTGCGAGGTTTTAGGACCAAATCCTCTAATTGAACAAAGCGTATGCCTCCCATTTGAAAGTGCGCGTTGGCACGCAGAATCGCTTGCGTCTGCGCGGCCCAGAGATGGGCAAGAAATTGCACGAGGGTGTTTTTGTCGTTTTTATCGCTATGATCCTTGAGTGCTTGCTGCATTTCAAAGAATTCAGGGGAAAAATTTGACATACTCCTCTCTGAGCACTTGAGATTCTTAACTGTATCAAAGGCGGCGTGGACAGCAGCGCGAAGTTCAGTATCCACGCGAATTTCTCGAAGCCACGCGTTCACCCACCCTCTCGGATCCCTAACCACGACTATGGCACGCATTCTCTCCTCCACGATCTTTGATAACCACGAAAACTTCAAACCCCACGCGGGATCCGACAGTCGGACAACTGGAAGAGCCTTGTGAAGTTTATGGGGTAATTTTGGTAAAACTCGTTTCGGGTCTTTAGCAAGACCACGAAACCATTTTCGATCCCGAAGCGTTTCAGACGAATGGTGAAAACGATGAAAAGTAGAACACGGATCCAAAAACTTTGCACCTCTCCCAACCTCTACATTGAAGAAATTCGAAGAGTTTTTAAACATGTGTGTTAGTATTTCCGCGCCTGCTAGAGGTAGAGATGTGAATAACACAAACGGTGGAACCTCTTGTACTTCGGAGAGAACACGAATTTCGCGGGAACTTTCAGTCACTTTGGGTTTTTTTAAGTCACATCCTTCACCAACACAAAAACTGATGTGAACAGCCATTATTGTTATTAACCATGACATCCCAAGACAAATCACGAACATATCACAGAGAGTTTGTCGAAACATCTTTTTTCGAAGCTGTAAATAGAGATATAGCAACACAATAGAAACAATGAATGGCAGAAACAAGGAGGATAAAATATTCCAAGTTGTATGCGAGTTAGTCTCACTTAGGGTTAATATTAAAACTTCCTCCTCTGCAGATGACATGACATCCAAACCGAAACGCACAGTCCTGGATCTCTTCTCGCTAATTTCAACCTTGCAATATCCTCCAAATTCCAAGAACTCATATCTAGAGTAAGGTTGATTATGCTTTGTTGCTATGGAAACATGGTAACGAACTCCATTCACCATCACTGAGATCTTCACTCCGTGTTCATGCCCAGTTACTACTCGTGGAAGTTGGTCTACTCTATGTCCAGGACCGAGAAATAAGTACGCAGTCCGTGTATATCGCACGTTCAAGGGCGTTGTTATATTAAGATAATGTGTTCGAAAGGAATGGAAACTTGACGAGTAATTTGTCGAATTGGCATAACTCTTCTGGTCGGTCCCTAAGTTTGACCAGTAAACTCTGTGCAAAAGTCCCTCTATGGAAATGGTAGCATGGGGTGTTTTGGACATGCTCTCATTGAGTATGAAGGGATGATCAACGTTATGAAAGAAGGCGCTCATAACAGATGCTTGACTTCCTATTTTGCGTTCGATATGATCGACCACGAGGAGCACGCTTGGATTCAACATAATCAAGGAACGATATACACTAAGAAGGCCCAGTTCTTGTCGATACCACCCACTCATCTCTCCGCTTATAAAAACCATATCATCTTCGCTTGACGCAGATATAATATCTCCTTGGGCCCTCCAGGCTGCCATTGTTTGAAAATTAATCCACTTACTGCATTCTCCTATCTGCCCCTCAAAGGGTTTGTAGCAAGATGACTGTTGAGAGGGACCGAATACTAGAGCATTATTAAGGAAAGTGTACTTGTAGGCGTAATAGGTCTCTGTAATGAAAGGTACACCATTTGGGGCAAACACAAATGATCCTTGGTCCGGCTGTTCATGGCCAGGGTTAAAACTTCTCCGTCCTTGTAGCCATGATCGAACGCGTTTTCCTCTGGCAAGAGAATTTATCGCTCGTCCGTGGAGCACCCCACATTTCAAGGAAAGAAATGTTCTTTTCTTACCCCAGTGACCGCCTAAATTATTACCGGGAGATAGGTCCAATCCACCCCCGTAAGTTACCACTCCCCAATCACTGAACACGTGGAGTCGAGGCATACTTGGGTTGGGTAGTGCTCTCTCTTGAATATCAGGATTATAGAATAAGAACTCTGTGTGGAGCATGCTTTTTTGGTGTGACGCCGATTGACTATAGACTTTCACTCCTGCTATTTGAACCTTGTGCTCTCTTATCTGTCTGGCCAGCCAATTCCCTAAGCCACTTCTCAAAACATGGTTGTCTAGGAAAA